AGATGAAAATTTTACTCAGCAGGTTTGGGATGGACAGCTTTACTTTTATTGCAAAATTCCACTAGAACATTGGAATGGTGATATCCTCCCTTCCGCAGGAACTAAATGGAGAGATGGAATTTTCTGAGTTGTGTGATTCAATGAAGAAAGACATATCCTAGATGAAGTACCAAATGGTGAAGAATAAGCCACGCAGAGGAAAATGTGAGAATATGGACCTAAAGATTAAACAGACACAGTTGAGAATCTTTATTTCCTTATTTATCATAAATCTTGTGATTCTGATAATCTGGTCCTTGTCTCTAAATTCAGATATGAACCAAGTTATTTTATAACCTTATCTTCCTTTTACGTGAAAAAACAATTATGTAGTTTATTCTTAAACTATATGTCTATTTGGGCATACTAAAGATAATTGTGTTAGGATTTAACCATCCCTTGCCTGTCACCTTTGTCATTGGTATTGCCTTTGAATAGCTTCCATAAGAAAGTTCTATCAATGGGAACTTGCACTCATTGTTTAACCTTTTTGGATGGATTTGGGTTCCACTCCTGTGGATAACAAAAGCATGATTGTTGATATCTGTATTTCATGACCTGTGAGCATTTCTGCACTGTTTTACTTACCTATCCACAGCATATTGTCACTTCTTCCAGCTCTTAGAGATGCCTATAGGAGTTAGATAGCTATTTCACCAAGAGAAATTGCTGTCTGGTTGTATTACTATTTATCCACCACTTCCAAAGTAACATGTTAACTAAAAAGAGCTGTACTTTCCACACAGACATTCCTCTGAGACCACTGAAATAAAGGGATTGTTCCCAAGCAAGAACAAAAACAAAGACAAACCCTTTTACTTTCTTTTGTTGATAGGGCTTTTATTACTTGGAGAGGTTGTGAGAGTTGGGCAATTTGGGTTTTCACTGAAGAAATGTTTGTAGAGCACCTGTTACTGTGCAGGCGGCAGGAGGAAAGCTGGCCTGCAGGGTCAGTGAAGCAGGCATGGTCCTTGAACTCATGGAATTTCCCAGGAAAGTGGATGAGACACAGATGGGTACATGGCCTCATTATTGGCTTGAGAGCTTCTTAGTTTAACAGAATTCATTAGTGAAGAATTTGAATCTGCGTCTAAATTCTCTTAAATATTTTTAAATTTCTAAAACCAAAAGTGGAAAACAGAAATGGTTAAGGTAAAACTCATAAACAAAAATTTAAAAAAAGGTTTTAAGAGGGAGAGTAATGAACTCTAGGATTTGTACCATAAGGCTTGCTTTTCCTCTTATGCCATTTTATTCAACTTCCATTTAATCCCATTTTATCAATACTGCAAGTCTATACAAATAACAGATGAGAAAATATTATTATGCAAATCATACCATTTGAATTAGCTTTTGGAAATTTTTTCACTAGTTCCCTGACAATTCTTGTTGTATGAAATATTTGCCATAGGAAATAATTAAACACAGACATTTATCTCTACGCTTGTAATGAACATAGGAACATTCTTTTTTTGCCACATGATTTCATTTCTTCAACTTTTCCTTTTAACTCATGAGAAATAGGATTTATGAAACACATTTAATCATTATCATTTCAAAGCTATTTTTATAGAAGTGGGATAAATAATGCTTAAATATTTTGAGAATCAATTGGTATATACAAAATTCTGTTTTATAAAGAAATTAAATATCAATAAATGTTTAATTTTTTTTTCAAATTGAAGACATGATTAATTTAGGTCCTTAAATCTTTAATAAATAATTTTTCCACAACCAGGTCCTTTCCCTCTTTCTGGTTTCAAACTTCAGTGTTTTGAAAAAAAAAAATAGCATACAATTTTCTGTTTATAACACACAAATGTTAATAGAGCTATTAGAAGTGAAAAAAAGAGGTTTCAGTCATGAAAGGAGAATGCAGTCATATATAAAAGCTAAAAGGTCTCCTATATAAATACAATTTTAAATTCTTGAATGGCAAGCATTTGAAAGAAGTGTCCCAGTCCTATTCCAGGGGATTGATAGCTTGGAAGAGAAGAGAGGTAGCCTTGATTGAGTGCTTCTTCTGTTCCCAAAACAACTCAGGGTGTTTTCCAAAGGACTCCTCCTTTACACTTCACTGAGATCCTATATCACAGACCAAGTGAAGCTAAGTAGCATCCACTTACTACTATCGTAAAAAATGGAAAAAGCTAAGCCTAAAGACAGTTGGGCTTATTCCAACACGAATAATTAGCCTTGCATTTACATGATTATGACTTGCTCTTGTTCAAAACCCATATTGTTAGATGTTTGCTTTACCATCTTGTTGAAATTTTGGAGAAATTTGCCTTTTCCTTAAAGCATAGAGCACTTTTAGCAACACAGGCAACATGTGCTGAGTATATTTGCAACTTGATACCTGGAGGCAGTCGAATTTGGAGGGAAGATCTGGGTATATTTATGAAGCACGGAGCTACATGTTTCACATCTTGACATTATTTCAGAGTTTTACTGATTAAAAAGTCAATGGGATGATGTATGAGGATGAACAAACAGCATTTAAAATCAAACTTATTTCTATATGCGTAGCATTTTGTCTATTACTTCCTTACCCTAAACCTGCTGGGTTGAAACCAGTTTCCTCAAGGGAGAAGAAATTCTACAAGTGAGATGAGAATTTGCTTGAGACAGGAAGCTTTGAAGTCGTCTCAGATTTTAGCAGCATTCATCCCAGGAGCGTGGTCATCTGCTTACTCAAGGTCTCACAGCGAATAAACACAGAAAAGATTCAAACACAGTTCCATCCCACCTCAGAGTCAGAGTTTTCATCACCACAATCTGCTTTGCTACATGACATTGTTCAGGACTCTAGAACATTTTTAATTTTAAAATATTTATTTAAATGAGGTGGAGGGTTTAGATGGCTCAACACAGAAAAGAGACACCTAGAAGAAAAGAGTTCCGTATTGATGGGCCAAAGTGAAAGCCTCCCTTTGTTCTCGCTCTCTTCTTGAGTGCCCTCTCCCTTGCATGATTGACTAGTTCAATGGTTTTGAGAGGGTTTCTGGATGCTCTTCTTTGTTCGTTAAAGGATTCTCTCTGGAGGCTCCGGGCTTGGGACCTGGGACAGCTTAAATAAACAGCTCAAATGCTAAGTCCCATCATCTCTGCACTCATCTCCATAGGGTGATAAAACATCATCTGCATTTATGTACAGCTTCACACATTAGTTAAACTTTGTACTCCACTGCACTCTGTTTCAAAGTGTGACATTTTAAAAGAGGATTCGTCTTGCTTCTATTGCTACCTACAGTTCTTTTCCATACGAAGCAAGGAGTCAAAGTGCTACTTTCACATAAATGTGACGAAATGGGATTGGCCTTCTATCATTTTGTTTTTTTTGTCTATTCCCATTTCTGAGGATGGAGAGAACTCTAGGATCCTGAGCATTACATTGTGAGAGTTGTACGACTTTTGCAAAAGAGGTGTTTGGGCGTTGTAAATACTCCATTCCAACAGCAACAAACACAATGTGAGCATCAAGGTTAAATAGAAATCACTAGCTCCATTTCTAAGAAACAACATCAGGATGAGAGAATGAGCCCTGCAAGGCGGTAAGGAGAGAGAGCTGAGGAGAGGAGCATGAAGTGCCTTTGCGAATAGAGCTCAGCAAGATACAGAGTCAACCTTCAAGAGTGTTTGTACTCTCATCAAATTTGGAGCATCTTGATGGCTCCGCTATACCGAGTGACCTTAATGGGCATGAACCGAACCTGTTGTGTCAAGGAGCAACTGTAACAGAACGTGTCTTCTCTGCTAATCAAATTTCTAAATTACTGACGTAAACAACAATAGCACCTGAATTGCATAAATGAATATTTACTTTGCTATAAATAGTAATACAATCCAGGTACTACTTTTACTCAAGCCTTGGTTTGACAGGAGGAAGATAAAGAGATATAATCTTTCAAAAACTACCTAACATTTATAGAAAGCACTTAAAAGGATATTCACTGGTCGCAAACCCTTGTGTGGGCAAGTTCACTTCTCTACTGCACTTCCTAGGAAAGAAAGTTGTTAAACCAAACCAAGCTATTTATAAGTTGTGTACTTATCCAGAGGGCAAGACATCCTTATGGAAATGACTTTCTCAGGGCAGTAGCACTGAAAGTTTTTTTTGTGATTCTAGGCAGCTTCTCATGGCATCTCCTTGTTAGAAATTAACATTGGATTTTTTTGGATAAAGAGTGAGAAGGAAAGCTGGCTGAACTAGAGTTTGACCTTGCATTCTACTCACCCAAGGAACCTCACTGCACATTTCCAGGGGCATAAATACAGCTTGAGGTACCACATGTTTCTCCTTTCTCCTTCATTGCCCACAGCCCACCCATCCTCTAGCACCCAGATTGAATTGCTTCTGGAAGATTCTGTCCTGTGCTCTCAGCTGTCTGTCTACTGTGTAATACCAGCAGCCCTTATATTAATTTGATTCGTGATATACTGCACTCTAATCTCACCCATCTCTGATCCCCTACATAATTCAGAAAACAACTTGACAAATGTTTGTGGAACTATTTCAGTTCCTCCTATTCTGTTAGAATACCAAGGCTTTCTGAAAGTTAGAACAAATAAAATTGTTTTATAAGTCATCCAAAGACAGAATGGTGCCATAAAAAGGATGTTGCCATAACAATTTCAACAATTTCCTTGTTCTAATAGCTGCCACTGTGTTACACCACGTTTTGGAAAAAATATTTATCAATAAAAACATTATTGGCTAATAATTATCACCCTGGAAAGCTTCAGCATTTAAACTCTGCTTATTAAAATCTTATTAAAGATCAAAGAAAAGTTCAGTGATTATGAACATTTGATAAGGAGCCAATTAGGGAAGTCTGATGACTCAGACTTGGCTCGGGGTGGGGGAGGGGCAGGCGTGTGGTTGCATATTGTGGAATTTCCTCTGACATAATGCAAGGTTGAGGGTGCACATACTCTTTAGTATATAAGGCCATGTGAGCCCTCTGTTCGACACACAACTCCTCAGAGGCTTCAGACCGCCTAAGCTTCTAGGAAAGAGCCAGCAAGGAACCAGAAGAAACCACCTACTTGAGAAGAAACATGACTCCGAAGGTGGCTGTGGCTCTCCTGGCAGCCTTTCTGCTGTCTGCAGCTCTGTGTGAAGGTGAGTGCATTTCGGAGGCTTCTTGGAATGCTTGTCTCAGACGTAAATACAGGTTAGGATGTTGAGAACACACTGTGTCTGTTGCTTTTCTTTCATCTTGAGCATTAAGAATTTTACCAATGCAGAAATCATCTCTGTGCAACTCACATGTATATTGTATTAAATTATTAAAGAGTAAACTTCGTGAGAGGTTGTCAGTGAACCTTCCCCTGCAGTGTCCTAGAGGATTGTGCATTGTCTAGGGAAAGCAAAAGTAGCGTGAGGATGTCAATATCATACAAGTGTAACTTTTCATTCTTTATGTAGAAAGTCATTCCATTCCGTTAGTGATGATTGACAATTGAGGGCTCCCAGATTTCAGTATTTTTGAATGGGTCTGCTAGAAATGAGTTGCTTTTTTCAGACTATTGTTTTCCCCTAAATAATTATGTTGGCATTAAAAGGGGAGTACATTAGCATAGTTATGTCTAGTCATGAAATCATTTCATAATTTTTAGGTTTCCCCACAGCTGCGGCTTTGCCAGTGATTGGTACAGAACTTCGATGCCAGTGCATAAAGACACACTCTGCCCCCTTCCACCCCAAATACATCAGAGAATTGAGAGTGATTGAGAGTGGACCTCACTGTGCAACTTCAGAAATCATGTAAGTACTGACACATAACTAGATTTTTGCCTTAGCATAGACCTAGAATTGAAGAAAACAACAGAATACTGCAAAGTTGGGGGTACTACAAATTACAGTCATGAGCAAAAGAACGGAAAGCAAAAGTCTGGCTGTAAGACATTTACACATTGTAGCTTCCACCATTAACAACTTAGTGTTGTTTTAGGCTCGGATTTTATGTCTGTACTTCAAGGCCCATGATTTGAATGGGAAAGCTAAGTGTTCATTTTTACATCTTTTCATTTCAGTGTAAAACTCGTTGACGGAAGAGATCTGTGCCTAGACCCCAAGCAAAAGTGGGTGCAGAAGGTTGTGCAAGTATTTGTGAAGAGGTTAGTTTCTGCATTTTTCAAGCTATCCCCCAAGATATAGAGTCCAAAAGTCAGCCTATACATTTCTTGCTGTTTCTGCAAATATTTGTTTTTACATGTCTATTCCTTGATTTAAAGATGAATCCTTGTTACTCTGTCCAGAGACGTTTGGATTTATGGTTATGTCCTTGTGTCATTAATGAAAACCCTTTTTATCCTCAAGTTTCAGATGGCGAGTCTATCTGGTCCCACTATTTATGGTTGAGAGTAGAAGGCATTTCCTGACACATGAATATCTAACACAGTAGAGAATTTTCTAGAACCTAACTTTCTTTCGATATCAGAGCACTGTTAATATTCATATTTTAAATTAAATTAAATTTATTTTTCAGGGCTGAAAATCAAAATTCATGAAAAATCAAAGAATTCTCCATACTCTGCAAGAATTCTTCAGTGAAGATGCCAAAATTATTCAGAAAAGTCAATGTCAGCATTTCATGTACTACATGGCTCTATCATAGAGTGCTAGATAAAATATACGATTCTCAGCTAAATCTGAATTTCTGCAAAGTGAGTTGTTCTTTTCATTGTCCCATGCACGACATAGGACATATTGTATTGAAAATTATTGAGCCCTATGGTAACAACAAATAACTTTTAAAATATAAGAATAGCGTAGTGCATGAGGAAGCTATAAAAAGAACAAAACTTAGACCAGGGGCTAGGAGAATATCGAGTTGTTAGTTTTAGGAATGGATTTGCTGGAAGTGTGATGTTTCAAACATCACGTAGAAATGAGGGAACAACCAGTTTTGCTGAAATTCAGAATTAGCTGGAAATATTGGATGTTTTATTTGTTAAACCTGGCAACTCCGGTCTGCTGGATCTGTGAGCTTCATGTCAATTATCTTAATTCCTAAACAAGAGAAAACGGATCAGCCATATCCTATCTCACAGGGGTGTTGTGAGGATACAGGGAAGCACTTTGCATTTTCATTTTCACTTAAATTATTTTCAAGTGTAACTTATTCACTTATTTATTATTTATTTATTTAAGCATTAGATGTGACAATATGTGAACAGGAATTTGGGAGCACGGGTATGGGAGTGTTGTTGATAGAACAGCATGATGATATTAGAATGGATTTATATTTATTTTATTTAGTATAGGAGAGAACTTCTGATCAGGATTTGCAATGATAGCCAAAAGATGAACTTCAGATAATAAGTACTTTTGAAATTTTTGAGTGGATAATTGCTCATGTGAATTTTTTAATTGAAATGAAGGTCCTGGTTTTTATCTTCTTTGTCTTGTGTTGTCACTGCCGGATTCACTATGCAATGTTGTGTTGAAGCAAAGAATTTTCAGTTAAGATTCTCTGTCTCAAGACAGCAAAAGGCACCAGGCAATATGGGTTAAGTAATACTTGCTAGATAAGATCAATTTATTATGCACTTATAGATTCTTATAATTCAATGATTGTGATTTCAGACTTTATTTTTTGTAAATTTAAGATGATGTATTTATGTTCCCCAAAATTTCTTCTACTGTTTTTGATAGTATGGAAATATAAGTGTAATCATGAAATATTTAAAAATTAAAATATAACTTATTGTAGAAGTTACAAGGTGTTTGTCTTTCTTTTATAGTTTCTATTTATTGCAACTTTCATTTCTATTGAAATCATATTTTGATTTTAAAAACAGGCATGATTTGTGGGAAATTACACACCTTCCTTTCAGAATAACACTCCCTTCTGGAAAGGAGTTATAAGCCTATCTTCCACAGAATGTTGGAACGGTTTCCGCTCCCCAGAGGATACTGTGTTGCTAACAAAGCTGGCCCCAGATTTTGAATGAACTAGTCCATGTGATTGTGCATCTTTTTTTTAAAAAAAGATTTATCTATTTTTATTGGAAAGTCAGATATATAGATAGGAGAGGCAGAGAGGAAGATCTTCCATCTGTTGATTCACTCCCCAAATGGCCACAGCAGCTAAAGCTGAGCCTCTCTGAAGCCAGGAGCCTGGAGCCTCTTCTGGGTCTCCCAAGTGGGTGCGGGGTCCCAAGACTTTGAGCCATCCTCAACTGCCTTCCCAGACCACAAGCAGGGAGCTGGATAGGAAGTGGGGTTGCTGAAATTGGAACTGGCACCCATATGGGATCCTGGCATGTGCAAGGCAAGGACTTTATCTGCTAGGCCACCACGCCAGGCCCCATGGTTGTGCATCTTAACACAACTGTGCATTTGGTTAAATAGGAATAATGAGTACATGTTATAAAGCAGTTATTAGTACATGAGAAGAAAAACGGACACAACTAAGTTAAAGTACTTTAAAATACAACTAAAGATCACATATTTTACCAAAAAAAAAAAAGTTACCCTGAAAGGTAAAGTCATGTGTTTTCAAAAAATTCAGTGGATGTTTTAGTGACAGATGAACCTGCTGATAAAAATTAGAGACCTGTGTTTAGGAGGCAGGACAAAAGGATTTTGTCTGAAGTTTGTATGAGAGAAAAAACACATGGCAAAAGGGAGTGTTGGAGAAAGAGATGAAAGCCATGGATATGGGTGTGGAGGTATCTCCGAGTAAGTCACTGGTGGGCCTGTCCATACTCCAGGTTAAGGTACTAATTTGAATGTCGGCTACTCTGGACTTCCAATACATTTTCCTGTTCAGATTTGCGGCAGGCAGGGATGATGGAACAAGCACTTAGCTTCCTGTCACTTGTGTGGTAGAGTCAGGGTGCAGTTTCTCACTGCTGGCTTTGGGCTGAACCAGCAGTTATTTGAGGAGTTAACCAGATAATGCAATTTTCCTCTCTCTCCACTCTCTGTCTCCCCTACTCTGCCTCTCAAACAAACAAGTAAATGATTTTAGAAATTAGACAGAGTATGCAGACACAGCCCTGTGACGGTAGCCCCGAGAAATGAAGAGAAATAATAACAGAGATGCAAAAACCCAACCTACCAACTCTCATCGCCTTCCTACTCAAAATCCTTAAATGCCAGTCCAAATCTGTGCTACTTTGTTTCTGATCTAGTATTCTGCTATTACTTCTGGAAAAGTAGAAGAGGGCAGGCTAAATGCCTGGTCCCCTGCCACCTACGTGGGGGTCCAGGATGTATTTCCCGGTTCTGTATTCTGCTTGACCAAATCTAACTGTTAAAAGCAATTAAGGAGTGAATTACCAGAAGCATGATGCCTCTTTCTGTGTATATCTCTCTGCCTTTCAAATCAGTCAATCAATCTTTAAAAGCAACAGATGTCTGTAATTGTCCAAGAAGCCCCAAAACAATAATATGTAGAAAAGATTTTAACAGTGGAGACACTGTTGCGGTGCAACAGATCAAGCCACCACCTTAAACTCCAGCATCTTACATGAGTGCTGGTCGGAGACCTGGCTGCTCCACTTCCAATTCAGCTACCTGTTAATGTGCCTGCGTAGAAAGCAGATGATGCTCCAAGTTGCTGAGTCCCTGCATTCGACATGAGAGACCCGGACAGAGCTCCAGGCTCCTGGCTTCTGCTTGGCCCAGCCCCAGAGGTTGCAGCTATTTGGGGAGTGAAACAGCGGATGGATCTTGCTGGCTCTCCATTTCTTTCTTTCTCCTGTTCCTTTCTCTGCAGCTTTGCCTCTCAAATACTTAAAAAAAAAAAGAAAACAGAAATGTTAACAGCACATTTTCTAGCATGACCTAAGAACATAATATAATACATACCACCAGAAAATTTTGCGTAAGTCTCCAGATACTAGACTCTCTGTAACATGCAGAAATAGTGTCAATGGATGAAAATGAGATTATTTAAAAATTATTAAAATTTTAATAATATTGTAACTGGAAAGCAATAAGCCAACTTGGGGCTCTGTCCATAGTATGTTTGTGAAACCTGAAGCATATTATGAGTGTCAACATATTTCAAGGAACTGATTCACAGACTGATTCACAAATTTTCTAAGTAGGATTTGTTTTATGTTAAGATAGAATTCAACCATAAAAGACTAGATTAAAAAAATCCATACTTGGAAAACAGTCAACACTTCCACATAATTTTGCTGGTAAGAAAACATAGAGGGCCCGGCGCGGTGGTGCAGTGGTTAAGGTCCTTGCCTTGCACGCCCGGGATCCCATATGGGCGCCGGTTCTATCCCTGGCAGCCCCGCTTCCGTTCCCTGCCTGTGGCCTGGGAAGGCAGTCGAGGACGGCCCAAAGCTTTGGGACCCTGCACCCGCGTGGGAGACCCGGAAGAGGCTCCTGGCTTTGGATCGGCATAGCATCGGCCGTTGCGCTCACTTGGGGAGTGAATCATCGGATGGAAGATCTTCCTCCCTGTTTCTCCTCTCCTCTCTGTATATCCGACTTTCCAATAAAAAAAATAATAAAAATAAATCTTTAAAAAAAAAAGAAAAAATAGAGAAGAAACTAGTAGTTACGTATAAACACAGCATCGCGAATCACATGTGTAACAGATGAAAGAATGGCTTTCCAAAAATGTTCTACTCCATTGAATGTATGATCTTACCCAGCCAAAACAAACTTTACAGTTGTAACTGTGGGAACAATACTGAGACTGGTAGATCACCCCAGGTGATGTATGGGTCTGACATAATTACAAAAATAATTACAAGAGAGAGACTGGGAGCTGGAAAGACAAGGAAACAGACTTAGTGGGAGAGTCTCCAGAAAGAGAGATTAGTTGATACTCTAGTAGATACCAACAATTAAGATAACAGAATCTCTGTCCTGCTTGTATTTAATGAAAGATGTAGTTTTTGAATTTAGAGAACTAAACTATGTGGTTCACTGCAATTGATTCAAAACCTATTTAAGGGACTGGCATTGTGATTCAATGAGTTCCGTTACTGCCTGAGATGCTGGCATCTTCTATAAGCACTGATCGAAATCTCATCTGCTTCACTTCCAATCCAGTTGCTTGTTAAAGTGACTGGAAAATCAGCAGAAGGTGGCCCAAGCCCCCAGGGCCTCTGAAAGATCAGATGGAATTCCAGGCTCCTGACAGGTCTGACCCAGACCTGGCTGTGGAGGCCATTTGGAATGTGAACCAGAGGATGGGCAGTCTCTCTCTGCAACTCTGCCTTTTAAATATGTAAGTAAATCTTCAAAATATCTAAGTGGAAAAGTTTTCTAGTGATGCAGTCATCATTGGAAGCTTTCACTAGTCGGTTTATGCTCACATTGTCCAGGTGCTCTAACATCCCAGAAGGTCATGAGGTCATCTTCCCTTCACTATCGTTCATTACGTTGTAGGACCATCCGAATGAGGACAGGAATCCTCTCCATCTTCTCACCAGTTCCTCACATGGCAACCTGCTTCTCATACGTCATTCTTCTTAGAATTAATCTGGACATTTGCTATTGTTGCTAACTCCATGGTCAGTGTCACTGGTAAAAGTTATTTTCGTTTCAACTTCCAGACACATGAACACATCAATGTTCTAGTAACAGAGTTGCTTAAAAGATTTTTGAGTGACATATACTAGGAACCAACTGGACCTTCCCTATTTGAAACCTCTTGTTTGTCTATAGCGGGGAAACTCCCTGTCTAGGCCACGTTGTGAGGCCTTGTCTTTTTCCACAGAGTTCAGTTCCACTTAAATTTCATTTCCTTGTTCTCTTTAAATTCAAGGTCTCTCGTTCTGCAACGCTTTGAAATATTTCCTTTTGTGGATCTCTGGGATCAGTGACTAAACAGGGAACAAAGCAGTAACTTTTCAGGGTTCATTGAAAGCAGAAAGCCGGGGGATGTCTAATCTCCCCGGCTTAGACATTCATGAGGAAATTCAAGGTGGAGGCTGAAGGATGAGTAGGAGATGGCCATACCAAGTGAAGAAGGGTGGTCTAGACAGTGATGAGGAAATACGCTGTGGGCAGGTGCATCAGATGATCTGAAAAGTGAAAGGAGTTTGAGTGTCTAGAGTTCGACCTGAAACAGATCAGGTGTACCAGTTGGCTGTACTGAAGGAACCAAAAATCGCTGCAGAACAGCTTAGATGTAGAACTGAAGATTTCTGAAAGATTCTAATTGGTCTCATTTTAAATTGTGAACTCTCTGTTGTACTGTTTTTCTTGGTGGGGAGGGGAGAGTGTCTCTTTCTAAAAGGAAACGGGGCACCACAAAAGCAAGTCACAGGGTTTTATCTCAGGAGCATCCAAATGACATGATGTTATTGTGTTCCAAAGGACACCCCATTTATATCTTAGTGTGTAACATATATACCTTGGATATGATGGATGTCAACCATGAAACAGGGCGAGCATATGTGCATCAATATCATGAATTTTAACTATGAAAACTTCAAAGTCCACTTCCCATTTTGTCTGTATCCCCTTAGCACATGCCAGACGCTCTTCTTTGCTGTTGTCTTTAGACTATCACTGTCTGTGAGGCAGCACAGCCAGTGTTCCTTTGAGAAGCCAATCAGGTAGGTCAAATTGCAGAGTAAGCATTACACAAAAAGGAAAATGAAAAAAAAATGAAGAGAAAATTGGATGCAATTACATTAATGCTGAAACAAATGTTCATTTTACTTTACTGCAATAGTAGTGCAATTATTTTTGCCAACCAATCTATTAGAAAACTTCATAAAGAAAAAATGGCAA